TAAGGCTTGCCACCTTTTGGTCCATTTTCCTGGAAACATGACAAATTTGGCATAAGACTTAAAACGTCTTCCAGAGTAATCTAAAATTCTGATGTATCCAAAGAGAATAAGTTACCCAGGTGTTGAGGAATACACTCAGTGAGGGTAGCTCGGTGTGTAGCTGCAGTGCCACCTGGGAGCCCGAGCAAGAGGCTGTGAACTGTCGGCCCTTTGCATAACAGAGGGCAGGGGACTGGACACTGAGAAACAAAGAAAGAACCTAAGACCCAATACTATCATGCATCAGATTGTGAGAGTATAAAAATCCAGGGTTTCCTTTTTTCAGGGTCTGTCACCGGAGGCTCACACCTCGAGCTGTTATTCTGTTATTTCGGTATCGCACTGTAATAAACACAAGCCATAATTCATGTCAATAAAAGAATAAAAAAATGGATTGTAAAACTTAATTGCACCCCCATAAAGAGATAAGGCAGGTCAACAAGGTCATAAGCCATAAACCATCCCTGTTCTCCTAAAATTGAATTATAGTAGACTTAAGTTGAATCAATAAACTTTTTACGTGCCGTGTTGTCCAAGAATGTATGAATTATAGGGAAACTATCACTGTTATAGAGATAACAACTTAGTTTTAGTTGTGAAAATAAAAATAAATTAAATTCTTAACCTAGTATTGTGAAATGTATACGTATATGATGTAATGAATATGCATGAAATAGCTAGAATAAATGTAAGTCGAATGCTTTATCGGGCATGCAGAGATTTTGAAGTGAAGACTCCACTCTGTGTCCAGCATGCTGTTTGCTTTTTCCATATAGTAAATTCTTATTAGAAAACCTATCATAACTCGGGACATTGTTTCTCACGGCACCAAGATTAAATTATTTTAAGGATTGAGATGTCTGAGACTCTGCTACGGGAATCCCGGGTTTGAGGCAGTAAGGAAATCTTGTCTATCTGTGTGAGTGTGGTGTGTGTAGGGAGTCCAGCAGGGCAGCAGTCGGATCACTGGACCCACCTGCTGCTAAGTGGCTTCGGCTGCAGCTCAGCTGGGTTTCAGAACAGCTACTCCTCTGCAAGGAGAAACCAAGATTCATTGTCTCCTTGCAAATAAAAAGACATTCACTCAGACTTCTAATTTAGTGCAAATTCACAGACAAGTAGGAGCAGCAAACAATGGTTTAGATTATTTTAACTATATGATAGGTATCAGATGAATAAGTTAAGCTTCTGAGTGACATTTTTTAAAACGAAAATAAATTATCATCACTTTTTATCTATTAAGTCCAAAAATGTTCAACTACTTTATTTATCTACCTGGAGTGTTTTCTGGTTTCATAACAAGTTCCTTCTAGTATGTGAGCATTCATGATTAGTTATATTTTTAAATAACTTTTGTTTTCCCAAGGATTTAAAATTAATATAAATTGTATTGGTTTGTCTTTTAGAAATGTTAAACTATGCTTAGATTCAAAAAACCTCTTAATTTAGTAAGAATATTTTATTATCCATGTAAAAAAATTTAGTACTCACAAAAAAGCTCATAGAAATATAAATTTTGAAAAAAGTTTTTAGGTTTAGGGTAGAAATTGTGCGTCACAGTAGGCTCTTATCTGCAAAGGAGTGCTTGTCATGGGCTATCGGTATATTTCTTTCTCAAAAGGACCAGTCCAACACTTGAAGCCTTAAACAAGGGCTATGATATAATAGTCACCAAATCAATTCGTGCTCTCCGTGACAGTAATAGCAAACAGGAAGTGATGCTGAACTGATGCCTGCCTGACATATGTGCCAGCGCACACTGTATGTTTGCACAGGTTTGTTTTCCAAGGGCTAGCAATGAGTAGGAGGATCAGGATCATTTTTTTATCAGTTTTTAGACTTATAATCTTGACAACATCATTTTGGAGATGGATATAACTCTCTTCTCATACATAGCTACTGCAGCACAAATGGATCTGGTACTGCGAGCTGACTCATGTGTGCGTGTGCTTGAGTGAGACACCCATCACCTCCTATCAGGGTCCCCAGCAAAACGAAAAAGAAAAAGCAGTGTTACTGGGGTTTTTTTTACAGAAGATAGGATAAACAGAATGTGAGTATGTGCACAGACAGGAATTATGCAAGAGAACCCATAATCCTCTATGCAGAAAAAAAGTGAGGTTAGGGATGTTTTAGACACTGAGTGTTTATCTTCTTTAGCTCTTGGACTTTTGGTTCAGAATGATGAAACTTCAACAATCAGCCTAGGTATTGGAAGCAGAAGTGTCTTCAAATCAGACTTTTCAAGAAAAAGAAGGATGGATTTGGCACCCACATCACACTGAAAAGATGTAATCTGAAATCCTAGTTTGTAGCCCTGATGGGTTTTCAACTGGACCTCAGAGCCTGGTTCCCTATGCCATGCTTCGGCCACTGGTTTCCTTGCTGCTCACTTGGGAGTTCTCATTTGTGCCATATCCCTGAAATAAGTGCAACAAGCCTAGAGATAGCCTGTCAGAGTCATCTGTCTATATTCTTCCTGAAGTCTGCCTGGAGAGCAGAATGCTCATTAAACAATTTTTCAAGCACGGATTATATTTTTCTTCTTTTTCTTTTCTTTTACAATTGCCTTCTGAAAAAGAGATGAGTTTGAGAGTTACTGCAACTAGTGTCTAATATGAGCAAGTCAATCGGAAAGTAAAGATTTTTTTTAAATGCAGATTATTGATTTTTGAAATTGTAGGGGCTTCTTCAAAGTCATTGGGGTTTGTCATGTCAATATGTTAGGAAGGACTTCTAAAAATGAAGATTAATGATGTTAGGGATAATTCCCACTGAAGAAACTCACACATTTCTCAGTATTTGGAGAATACTGGTGAACACAGTCAAGTTCTCCTTGAATGTACCTTAGCTCTGTTTCTGCCATGAGAGTAGGGGGAAGATTTTCTATAACATGACAGAAAGTTAAACTTCCAGTATCTTTGGAAATCAGTGGTATTTGAGCTACATAGTTCTGATTTGTGCTTTTTAAAAAATTCCCCATATACAGTGAGTGTAGCTGATTTACTAATTCCACAAGCCAAAATATTTGGCTAAAAAAATCTGAATATTTTTTCTTTCCAAAAGAAACTGAACATTTTCAATAGTTGTTTTTCAAAACTAAATATGCAAGTCATGCTTCTTACTATTAATTTTTTCCTTCAAGGTTTGTTCATATATTTTGTTAAAAGCATGAAAAATTACAAATTAAAGAAAAATAAGCGTTTTGTTAACTTGCAGGAATGTTAAGAAATCCCTATAGCTAATAATCTGATTTTGCAGGTGGTCTCAGGCACATATCTATTTTTTTATCCAAAAAGATCAAGTTAAATATTTCTTAAGTTATTTCTGTTCTAAAGCTGAGGCTTAAATGCTAACTACTGTCCGGAAAATTAGTAGTATAGTTCTGCTGGGGTTTCCCTCGCACAGAAAAGCTAAAATTGGTGGTGGATCATTCTATTCTCAAATTATAAAGCACTAATTCCTCAAATAGTCCTTAGGATCATAATTTGTTTCTCTGAAATACTTGGTGATAGGTTTTACTCATCAGTTTTTCAAAAAGAGTCACAAGCATACTTTGGAAAAGTTTAAATTTAATTGAAGCAAACACAGCTTTTGTATGAAACCAAAATGGCCTGTATATGGTTTTTTTGATTTTTAAAGAAAGATAATCAAAGACAAAGAATTCACAATCCAGGCTAGGATATCTTGCCTCTTTTCCAATAGGCAACTAAACTGGGAAGCAACAGCACAAATCCATATTCCAGTTTGGAGAGGAAACAAAGGGTGAGGAAAGGGTGTCAGCACAGTTGTTATCTGGCTGATATCCATCTTCAGTGGCCTGCAGGACCACAAAACCCAGAATCTGTTTTGTCTGCAGTCAAATTACAACTTGCACAAGACTTTGCAGAAAGTGTCTCTGCAACCTGAAGTCCTTAATCATTGAGGTATTTTGAAGAAAGATGTCCTCACACAACAGAAAAATATCCAGGAGCTTGATACATAAAAAATACCTGCTCATGAAATCCTATAATCAGAGTGAACATTAAAAAATGTACACAAACACAGAGAAATTCACTGGCTCGTGTTTTTTGAATCCTTTTCCTGGATTTAACTCCTTAGGTCTTGGTACTGTTCATGTCCCATCCTTACTTTAGCCAAGTTATTAGAGTTTATTCCTGTCTTGTATAAGCAGATAGACACTATATGATGATGATGATGATGAGAAATGGAGTTCAAAATCATATTATACTGCAGATCACATTTCAAGTTATATTAGCCTGTAAGAAGACATTAGTATGCAAATTCGAAGAGCTCACTCCTTGCATAGGATTTACAGAAACACACACACGCAAAAAGAGACCTTTTTACAAGTTTCTATAAACCATCACATCTTATGTTGGTATGTATACATATTACAGGCTGGAATGATCAAGAGGAAAGGAATCTCACATTGTCACAGGCTATCAGAGCTCCTGGGTCAGTGTTAGGAGTGAAGCATAGAAGTCAGACAACACTGCAAAGCAGTGGTCTTTTTTTGGTGATGAAACCATCACATTCAGCACTCACTATCCATGAAGTTAACCTTGACATATAACTGCACACAGTTGCATCACAAATGTTACTAAAAATTGTTTCTTTCTAGGGTTCATTCCAGGAATTCATTTGCAGCACACATATCTGCTAGCTAATTTTATGAGATTTTACTTTACCACCCTTTTTTTAGTATATTTTCAACTGTACCATCATTACAAAATTACCTGAAGTCAGAGAACACTGAAAATAGCAGCGAGGTACTTCAATTCTCAATAAATTAATAAAAGTCTATCTACTGAGAACTCTCATTCATTGGTATTGATTAGTGAACCAATATCAGAAGACACACATTTAAGTGAAAAAGGTCACACAGACCAGCCACTTCTGAATTTGTTGACAGAGTCCACAGATATAAGAGTATAATAGAACATAAAAAAATTTCTTACCTTTATGATGATTTGCCCCAGAAGCTAATTTCCCCCACAGGGTTACAACAAATATTATTATTAGCAGTTTTCCTTTTGTTGCTTTCTGTAAGTATCTCTTATTCATCCTGAAAACAAACATACATAAAAATAAATATTACCTTAAGATTTTTTTAAAAGACAATTTTGGCTTAATTCAGGGAGAACTGACTATGTTTTTATAAGTGTCTGGCTGACAACCCTCAAGTTTTAAATTCTGTTTAGCCCTAAATGAGGTACACCAAATAGAGCAGCAGTATAACTTTCCTCACTGGTCTGCCAGCATTCCTCCACCCTGATCAGTACTGAGCAAATTCAACATCATCATCGTCTTTTCTTGCAAGGCACAAGCATTGTTCATAACCACAGTGGACTCCAAGGCTGGCAGTAAGGATGAATGGATGCAGCTATGAGCAGGTTTGATAAACAGAACAGTTTCACTACTGTGTCTGGGGCCAGTCACGGTCAGTGTGGTTCTATGGTTCTTTCTGACCACTCCGTGGTCTTTTTAGCTTTTGGGATTGCAGGTCTTTTTGACTTGTGCCCACAAGCAATAAGGCACTAACAGATTTGATTAGACCTCTAGCACATGTGCCAATCCTCCCGCAGACAAATCGTGTTGGGAAGACATGAGTAGTTTGGAAACATGAACTCAAGCAGGGCAGATTCACTAACCTCTCTCCTGTGTACCTTAGGGTAATGAAAGATTTACTGCACCAAGAGAAACTGCACACAACTCCCCTCATCTTGCTCAATGATGTTTTCACTGTGACAGCAAGCCAACATGGTGGTTTAAGCACAAGATAACACATGACTTTACTATCTTTCAGTAACTTCCTCCAAAGTCAAAATTCCCTCCCACCTGCCGAAAAGACAAGTTCAGGAATGTAGGTTCCAGTGCTTAAAGATTACAGCTGAGCAGAGAATGGCAAGAGGTATAATAATGAATCCCTCTCACTTCATTCTCTGTAGAAGAACCCTAGGGAGCTGGCTAAGAAACAGCTCTGCACAATGATCATGTTTCTGCTGATAGCTCAACAGGACAATGATGCCTATTTCAAATCACTTATACTAGAAAAGCTGCAAATTTGATCACTTGAACAAAATTGTTGCTGTGGAACTAGGTTGCCTTTCTGAGTAGAAAAAATGCATTGCTTCAGTATGGTTGCACATTTGTTTCCTATTACATTCATAAGAAACCAAAAGGAATTTAAGCGCATCTCTTTTGCTCTATTCATGAACAATGCTGTCTTGGGCAACCACAACTCTGTGAAATGCAGACTGCTCTAATACAGAATTAACCAGTAATGTGTTCAAAGTCCCAAATAATTTTCCATTACTTTAAAACAATTCCTTTCCTCTGAACAAATTTCTTTCTAATAGAACACCATGTGCTGATAAGGTAATACACATGCCACAACTCCAATCATGATTTTCAGGCTTGAAACCAGACCACTTCCCCAAAATCTGCCAATCTTGCTCTCCAGGAGATTGATGAGATCTTGTTAAGCACCTCTAAGTTTCCACAGGCTCTGTGCAAGAAAACACAATTGCTCGAATTAAGAACCCACTGAAAAGTGCACCAAACCCTTTTAAACCTGAATTCAAAGCAACAAAGAACTCAGCATCCTTTGATAGAAGTAACACATCTACAGTGTGTTTCCTAGAGGTTCAGATAGCAAAAGGAGAGAGGAGCACGCAAGTACTCTAGTAGGATGGTGCATGTGCTTCTGAAAGCCTGACTGATTAAGAACCACAGGGGAAGTCATAGTGTGCTGTGAACCACACCAAGCTCTGCCGTCTTGCACTGATTCCAGTGACTTTGGAGTGTAAACTGCATATTCATCATCAGCTCCAAGTTTATGAAACACTCAAAGCTAAAGGGAAATACATTATTTTGCACTATAAATAAGAACAAAAATAAAATGAAATTGGAATGCATATTCAGCATATGCTCTTTCACAGCTATCTCTGTGAAAAGAATATGAATTAACTCTTTCACTCTGGATTCTCATACTGCACCTGTTATGCTGCTGGTTCCAAGTCATCTCTCATTAAAATCAAATCTTTCTTCCTCACCTACATAGCACTGCTCAAAACCCAGTGGGACTTGCACCATTAAAGCAAGGTTGACTCTAATACAGTTTCTTCCTCTATTCTGCTGATGCCAGATTCACTCACTGTGTTGTGAGACTGGCAGCAAATGCACACCAGAAAATGCAAAATGCATAAGGAAAAATAGGAGCAACAAGGGAAAGAGAGAAAACCAACCTGTCTGCCTGTGAACAGCAGCCCCTCAGGATGGATGGCAGAGAGAAGATAGAAAGTTTTGCACACAGCCCAGCGCACCCAAGAGGAGTAAGCCAGTACTGAGAGAGAATAAACTGTTTTCTGCAAAGTAAGGGAAGGGTTTCAGCTTTAATATAGAAAATCTGAACTCAATGTCATTGCAAGGTTTTCCAATCATTGTAAAAACAACACATCGTTTTTGTACCACAAGCCTATTACATTATTCTGCACTAGTTATTTATGGTATTCACCTTTAGGAGGACAAAAATCTGAACTTTTTCTAATAGTAGTCCCGTAAAAGGCATAATTAACAGAAAAGTCAGTGCAAGTAGCAGTTCTAGCTTGAGACTAATGGTTCAGAGGCCATCAGCAGAAGAAAAAAAAAAAATCTTAGGAGATAAAGCATTCATAACATACTCAAACAGAAAAAGTTAGAAGATTATGTTAAGCTTCAAACTAACTATGCTGCCTAGACCTAGACCTGTGGTTGTGTGCATTGTCTGCTCACAGTGGTCAATCCAAGGACAGACGAGAGGCTGCATAAGCACAAACAAGGTATGAAGCACCCTGTTCCCAGCAGTCCTGCTGCATACAAGGGCCACACTGTAGCAATACAGCCCTAGAAATAAAAAATGAAGGGTTTGTACTACAAGAAGCTGAGTAGTTGGTATGCATGCACTTCATCAGCAAAGCAGGTCAACAGTTAATAATGAAGGAGAGGTCATAAGATATGCTCAGTATCTGAGTGCATGCATTATCACCTGGGCTCAGAAACTCTGATGCTGGTTATTTTTTGTGCATTTGCAAAACAGTCCATATATATATGTAGCACTGAGAAGGCACCGGAGCTAGATATCATTTGACCTCAGCTCTGAATCGTAACTATTGGCCTCTTGCAACCCTGATCCATGTCAAGCAAGTGCATCCAGGAAATAAAATTGAGTCCATTACAGTACTGTTATTACGCTAACATAACTGGCTGTGTAAGAATAAATGAGCTCTAAAATGAGGTCTACTGTTGCTAAAGGTGATGTAGAGCTCCACAGACAAACTGTAACTATTAACCTGAGTGGTTTTCTCTTTGAGACATTTTTGTCTTCTATTTTTTCTTTGTTTCTGCAGAACATCTCCCTCTCTATGATCCATACAGCCTTCAATAATGCCACATAAGCCAAAGATGATCAAAACAGAGAACAGTCATGCTATAGAAACACCTACATTTAAAAATCCATTTTACACAAAAATACAAGCTTTATGTGCAACAAAAATTTCCTTCCATTTCAAACCCCAGCATATTAGAAATAAACCCAAGGTATTCTCAGCACTTTCACACAGAAGAGGACATGAAAGGTTGCAGTGTTTGAGTTCAATTTTCAATGTGCTTTGAGACAAGGAAAAAAGAAAGATAGCTCCTTTTCTGGTTCAGGGATCCATTCAAAATATAACAAAAAGATGTCACCCACATAATTCAAACAGGCAGTGGCTGTGTGAGATGACTCTGCTGTGCCCAGCTCTTCACTAACACTATAACAAAAGGAATAAATCCATAGGATCTGTTGCTTTTCCTCCCTAAGATTCCTTTTCCCTGAAGCACACTTCATGAGACCATCACCAATCTGTATCCTGTACTCAAGAATAGACTGTGTTGGTGATTAGTGACAAAACACTGTAGGAACTTTTTTCTCAGGGTGAAACCACAACTGATCCTGCAGAGAAGGTTCACAAGCTGCCATGTCAGCAGAAATCCTTTGCCCCGGCCTCTGTGGCTCAAGAGCAGTAAACTGTGAATATACTCCTAGGTTGCACAAGTTCTCTTTGTCACTACTCCACCTCACTCTCAGCTCCCTCTCAACAGCAGATGTGATCCAACCATTGGGCTATACTGAAAATACCATACACAGATGTGTATTTTCAATGTAGCATCTGCAATCTTTTGAGTTTCTACTTTCTTCCCTCTTTGCTTCTGGGCTTGAGATCAGCCACCTTTGCAACAGTTCAGAATTAGAGAAGAATCATCTTGTATGGCCAGGGCTAAATTGCCTTGCTTTCTGATTTTAGGTGAAATACAAACACATGTAATCTTTATTGTTGAGGAGAAAAAAAACCTGTAAGGAAATACTAACTTTCATTTTTCCTTTAAAATATTAAATACAAATAAAATTTTCATCTGTTTCCTAGGAGTAAGTCCGTTTTTCTCGGTTGCTCCTTATCTTTCTTTTCTTTACAAACATGAGCTTCTGTGAAGCTGTTCAAAATTCATTCTTTCCTGCTTTACATATGTGGAAACTTTCATTGTTTCCATTACAGTTAAGTCAGTAAGATCCATTTTCCTTTTGCAAACACATACATCCTGTGAATGCAAATGTTCATAAAGAGACACAGAAGCCTATTTCCTACTGAATCATGACAAAACACTTGAGACAAAAACCTGATAGAAAATTAGTCCCACATCCTCTTACTTTTCTTTTTATGACAAATATTTTATTTGCTACTTCAGAGAAAGCCTAAATGAGTAGTAGAAATCACTTGAGACCCCAAGTCTCATGTACAGAAATAATGCAGCCAGTTAAATTATGTTCTGCACTGTGTTGAATCTTACATTAGTTATTAGTGTGTTAGTTTCTACATCCCACACAATGCAGGTATTTGCAGTTTTATTTAGCCTATCCTATGTAGGCTAGTGCATATTAAAAATGCCCCTCTGGTGAATAAGGTCACTTTGTAAAAGTAACACCAACGCGACCCCTGTGCATTTGCATACATATAAATTCCCTCTGTGATATTCCTGTCATGTTTGCTC